AAAAAAAAAAAAAAAAAAAAAAAAAAAAAAAAAAAAAAAAAAAAAAAGCAAATGATACTTTTGAAAAACTTCTGATAGAGGATTGATCATGATACACCTTGGACAAGATAGGAACACATAAGTAAATTCAATGCTCTGCGCACACGTGACCGCGAAGATCAATGCAACGCTCGAAAGCAAACTCGAAAAAACGTTCGTGTAAAACTTGTCGAGCTCAATGCAAATGTCTTCCGAGGCAATTGTGAAAACAGACAGAGGGAGATAATAGAAAGCCGAGGCACCGCGGCACGTTATCGTCACGTGCGTGCGTGCGGGTACACAGCTGACACGGGAGAGGATCGCACAAGATTTACATAATTCGCGTCGGCTGTGTTTGCTTAGAGTTGCAGCATCGATCCTTTTTCCATCTCTGCTGTACATCAGCCGAGTTATCGTTACCGTTAACGTTATCTCTCTCCTCGGCAGATATGACGCTCAAAAGTGTTGGCAAGAATCGCATTTATTTGGCACGGAAAACAAAGGGCGCGAAATTTGATTCACCCCAGACCGATTTTTCACTCTAAAAAGCTCATCCAACGTGGGAGAACCTACCAGTTCTGCCTGGTTTGGGATGCAAGATAAAAAAAAAAAAACAAACAACAGAGTAGACTTTGCTGGCGAAAGAGAAAAAAAATCATGCGCGTCCTCTAAAATGAAAGAAAAGCCTCGTCCAACGATATTCCGAGTACTTATACCGATCGTGCGAAAAAAAAAAAAAAAAACAAAAAAAAAAAACATTAGCTCATCAAGGCACATTGTCGAGTAAACATGCAAATCCGTGATTATCGAAGAAGATCTTGAACGCACAAGCATATAAAGGCGGCTTGATAAGAGACGTCTGAGTAACATCGATCGTAAAATCGGTAGACGCTTCGGCAAACAGAGAGCAACTGGTGTACAGCTTTTACGACTGCATTAATGTGGTTCTCGGTTGCATTTTCCAAAAAAAATCTTCTCATGCCAAATGGAAACTTTATTTCGTCGAGATAACGATCTGGTATGCTCTGCTTACCGATCTTTTAGGGATCGCCATGAAACCAAACACCTCGAAAGTTCGTGCGAAAACCCGCATTTCGCCGACAAAAATCAAAAATTGCGACGGAAAACACAAAAACCCCCCGCTCATCTTTTCCGCACGAATGAGTCACACTTAGAAAAACATAAGATCGTCAAAGTAGCATTTCTCACGTGCGTGAGCGTGTGCACACAAGCGGGGATATAAAGATCAAAGGGGCACGCTTAGAAAGTCCGCACGCGCGCGCATAGGTGACGATTTGGTGGAAAAGTATACACACACGTGGATGCGTTAGTTTCCAACACAATAGCTCGATTCCTTGAACGATGCAACCGTTGATTGGAAATTGTGCGGAAAAACGTATCGGCCGTTGATCAGAGCGAGAAAACATAAATCTTTGTCACGCGGATGCAAGTTTACAAGCAAGTACAGCACGCGCCCGTCCCGGCAGTTTCCATGGAGTCATGGGACCCGAGAGGGAGAGCGAAAGAGAGATTGCACGAGCATCAGAAAAAGTCACGGAGATAAACAACGAGTCTTGAGGTGCGGCTGATATGACTCGAAAGAGAAGGAAGGGGAAAGATCGTATACAACTATTACAAGGAGGATGAAGAGACTCACTGCGCGCACACACACATTGGCGCGTGTTAAAAGGGAAGAACGAGAAAGAGTGTCCGTACCCACTCGTGGACACAGAGAGAGAGAGAGAGGAGCCTTCTTATCTCCCCACTACTACTATATTACTACTACTGCTACTACTACTACTGCTGTAGTCCGCAATAACCGAGCTCTCAGTCGTACCAAGCCGTTCGTTAGCATAATAAACGCCCGGCCGGCTTCGTTTCCAAGTTAGTCTGTGTTGGCACGACGCTCCGATCGGTTCGCGCGGCTTTGTGCATTTGTACGTAACGTAGTTACCGCAATACCGATCTATAAGCCACGCGATCGTGCTGATTTACTCTTTGCTTTTCGCCAATAATTTTCTAGTCAAGAGTTTGTCAAATTTGAGGGAATTTCAGCTGGTAAAGTCAAGTGAATTTTTTTCTTCGAGAGTGCACGATTGTTGCCGATCGCTTCTGATTACCTGGTGCCGATTTTCTGCAAAGTTCAGCAAAAACAGTAAGTTTGCTTTTGTTTTTGCTGCTTCGGAAATTCAATAAAGGATTGCTCAATGTATATTTAAAGAGGTACTAGACCCAATGGTTTTCTTTTTTTTTTATTTTGACAAATTCTGGGGCTGACGAGACTGTAGTTATTTTTCCAAATCGTTATCGTGTAGTTACTAGAATAAATCAAGAAGCAGGTGCAATTAAATCTCAAAACACACGTTGCCTTCTCCAGAAAGTTCCACCAACTATCATCACAAACTGAGGTCACCACCACCTCAGACAGCGCCATCGAGAGCTGCAATAGTTATAATTAATCGTCGAGCCATTTAAATCAGCGTTAATCCGCACCTTGAGCTTATACGTCGAGGTGTCGATCTGCATTTCCATCGCTAAAAAGTTAAGCCATCGCGTTTCGATTACTTCTTGTTTTTTTTTTCTCTTTCCTTCTTACCGAACGGCTTTATTGCATACCGATCAATCGAGAAACGTTAACGCGTTAAATTAAACACAAAAGTGGAGAGGAAGAAAATGATCGTCAACTTGTTTAAGAAGTCCAATTTTGATGTTAAATCGTGTCAGCGTCGCGTCAAATCGCACCCCGAGTGGTTATCGCGCTCTGTTTGCAAGTGTATAAGTAAGGCGACACTCTTGGGTTTGACAGCTTTTTCTTAGAAATCCCGCATAATATCGAAATTAACGAAAAATTTCACCTTTGCGACGATACCGATCGATCGGCCGATCAATGGAAGAAAAAAAAAAAAAAAAAAAGATGGACAGACCAAAAAATGGGAAAAACCAAGCCCGTGCAGGTCGTTGACTCGCAATTTTTACGCCTACTCTCCGCTGTACGCGTCTAATTAGATTTATCCCGTGGAATGCCCCGATCGGATTAATTTTTTGCCGTCGTTAGATGTTTGGAAAATGATAATCGAGACTTTTTTTTTGTTCGTCCGCTGAGAGCGTCGATCGCGTTCAACATTAGCATAACTGGTTTTTATGCAATTTGTGTGTACTTGCCCACGTATACAACGCGTAGAAGGTACGTACAGATGAGGTGCGCGAAACGCATATGTTTCAAAAGACATTGAATGAGCCGCTTGGTGCGTTGACATCGTGCAAGATCGAGATTATGCAACCCAACGTGCATTCCTACGTCAGTTGTGACAGCGGCTCATTCGTTGGGGTCCCATTAATTTTTCGCGAACGGTACTCATGAAAGAGACCAAGAGATAGAAATACACTCGACCGGAGGTTCAAAGTTAACACTTTTGATTGAGATAAGGTTTATCGTTGTTTGGAGTACGAGTAATACATTATTTTTATACCACACTCCAATGAAGGAAAAAATCATGGACCAAAAGCAATTGGAATTTCTTCTGTTTGCAGCATCGTCAGCAGTCTCGAACTACCTGCGGGACGAGATGGAGAGCTCCTCGTTGATAATCGACTACCTGATCTTCATATCGTTCATAGCCTTCTCCTTCGTGATTCCGTTGTGGGGCAAGTTCAGGGCCCGCAAAAAGACGGAGACAAAGGCCGATTACGTGTTCGCCAGTGGCTCGGGTGTCTCGATGGGCGCGATGATGCTGTCGATAGCTCGGGGCACCCTGGGCGTGCGCTCCTTCCTCGGCTACCCATCGGAGCTCTACTACCGAGGCAGTGCCATGTGGGAGACCCTCTACGGTATGCTGTTGGCCTACCCGATCGTCTGCTTCGTCTTTGTCCCGGTGTACTACAGCCTCGGGATCACCTCCGTCTATCAGTATCTGTTTATGAGGTAAGCTTTTCGGCTCCATTAGTGCACGCTTATCTGTCCCTTTCCATATACGCATGCTTTCTTTTCTTGTTTTTGAGGGGATTTTCTTTTCTATTTTTTTTTCCTCCCTAAGATAATGGCTCGTGGGTATAGGTTGTCGTGGGGGCCATTAAGATTAAGCATTTTTCGATGCCGCTTTGAAGATACCCGACCAAGGGATGGTTTTTTTTTCCTCCTCGTGCGCCGGGACTTTCTCCCGTACACTGATTGTGATCTCTCTCGCGTGACACAGACTGTGTATATAATGCTTGTTATCTTTGTGTGGGTAAACACGTTTTTTTCCCCACCAAAGTTGAGAGTTTCTCAAATCACTGGTCCACTCCTTTTTTGAGCTTTTATCCTTCCTCCAGCTCAAAGAAACTACGATGAGGTGATGAGAATTTTCCGCAATTTTTTATTCACTCTCGCTCGACCATTACTTTCCCAATTCCCATGACAACGAGGATGGTGTGCTCCTCTTATCTTCTGTTTTGTTTCCGGAGTTTCGTGATCATCGCACGAGTGTTATCTGCGTCCCGTGACTTCTAATCATCGGTGTCTGGGGAAAAACACGCTTGGACGGACACTGTACGTCAGAGAGTCAGTGATGAGTCAAAACTTGGTCTTGTGCAAACTCTCAAAATCGTACAATGAGATTCGTTCAATCAATTATATTTCAACACCGTATACACTTTTCATTTAAATAAGAGCCACCTGTTTTAATCCAAGTGGCATTAATACCCCTTTTTTTTTCTCATTGACCAAAAGCTCGATAAGTTACTGTTATCGAGAATGACATCGAGCTCTCAACTGTTTATTACCGCATGGGAATTTTTATCAGGACGAGCTTGTGCAATTTATCGCGAGAGACTGTTATTTGGATAAAGAAAAAAAAACTTTTTCCAGCTTCTCGAAAAACTTATATAATTTAAGATCCCCGTAATACTTAACTACTTTCGCAAAGTTTTGTGCAAGAAGATTTTTGAAATTGGTGAATAATTCGAATGGGTGTATCAAAGTTTGTGTTTTTAAAACTCCATTGGCGTAACCATAGCGTCAAGTTGGTTTGTTGAACAAAATTACAATTTCGTCAACGTCGAAGAGAGAAAAACGAACCAAGAAAGCTCGCCCATAATTGAGTTCCAAGACATCGTGTGCTCCTCCTCCTGTTTGCGGGAGATTAAGCGACGTCGTGGTAAACTCAGCTGTCGCAAGAGATGCTTCTTAGTCTCGAAGATTGTGCTGAAACTCTTGAAGAAATTTAACCTCTTCAAAAAAATTTTTGTTTGCTTCCTGATAGTGTTGGAGTCGTAGACACTCACTAATATATTACAGACTTGGGCATAATTGTGTTATGAATTTTGAAAAAATTTAAAACAATTTTTATTTCCGCATACTGTGCATAATATTTATCGTGAGGTATTTTAAATCAAATATTTGAAAATTATTTTCAATACTAGTACTTAAGTTGTTTTTTTTTTTTTTTTGTTTTTCCTAATAATTTTTTAACACAAACGAAAAANAAAAAAAAAAAAAAAAAAAAAAAAAAAAAAAAAAAAAAAAAAAAAAAACAACAACAACACCTCGTGACTCTCTTTATCTCGCGGAACTACTATCTCCACGATAACAGAATGAGCGAACACGCCTCCGAAAAGTGCCATCTTACAGCCGCGAATCGGGCACCCGACCTCTCGCAGAAGCAAAATCATCCAAATGCTTACACAATCGCGCGATATCGGGAGTAAACTCGCCCCATCCGCGTATGTAAGCCAAAAAAATCACGTGTCTCCCTTTTTATGCTAACAAAGCGTGTAAATGCTCGGAAGCCACGAGGCGGACACGTGTGTTCGGTTATACACACATAAGTACGCAGTTGTTGAAAGAAGAACATCGAGAGTGAGAATATTCGCATGAACAACTTTGTATGTTTCTCTTTCGTATATAATTAAATAGTATCGAGTGTAGGTCTGACCGTCATTTGACTGTGTCAACCACACAACATGTGCAAGTAGTTTGAATGCTTTTTGGAGGGAAGTCGTTAGCGTACGTTATTTTTCATCACTTCCTTGATATCTGATTCGAGTTAAAAATCGCTTATCAAAGACATCAAAAACAGTTGTGTTTCTAAGTCGAGAAGAGTTTTAGGTGCTTATGGTAATGTTATTGTTTGGCACAAGTCTGCGGGATTTTGTGACATAATTCTGTTCTATAGATAATGCAGCATATTAGTACTCCTGCATCCTTGAAGCCATGCGTATATGAGAATGGTAAAAAATCTGCAATGATTTTTAATTAACACTCGAAACACATGCTCCTAATGTTAAAAATTGTTGTGTGTATCTATAAAGTCAGGAAAAAGGTTTTCAATCATTTTTCTTCTTCTTTTTTATGTTTATTTCACTCTCCTCCGTAGTGAATATTATGCCAATGATCGTAATGTTGTTTTCATTAAAAGGAGTACATGAGATGATAAATTTAAAAAGGTTGTAAAATTTATATATCCGTTGTTTTTATTCACGGAAACCGTTTTTTTTTCTTTCTCTTAAATTTAATTTGAAAAATGATGTATTATATTTTTGTTCATCAAAAATGTGATATAATTAAATTATTAACAATAATAAATAGTCATTGTGTGTAAAGGTACAAGCAAGTACAAGGTCAAGGGTAAGATCAGTGCCTACTACCTGTAGAATTAGATACTTCGTATTTCTAATTCCAGTAGACAATGAACGGAAGTTATTGCAATTTTTGATTCTTTTGTTGAACTGCAGCGACAACTGCATTAATGCTTTGACATTTAGACGAATTATCCATTTTTTTTTTTTTTTTTTTTTTTTTTGTAATTAAACACGTGGACGTTTCCTTTTATTTTCCACCTTCGTATACATTGTTTTTATTCCGCAATATTCGATGATGTTATACTGTACATCATTATTTCGCCAACTGCTTGCATTAAATACAAAAATTAGATAAGGAAAATTTCAAAAGAGCAATTATTCATTCACTCGTGCAAAAGATTAGGTCAGATTTCAGGAAATTTATGAACAATTAATTTCACCAGATTCACCGTTCTTCTGAGAACTGCATAATCGTATCTAAAAGAATTTTATTATTATTTTTTTTTTCAAATGCCTTTTCACAAGTGATGAATTCCATAATATACCCACACGTGTGGGATTTCCTGGTGTAGAACTGACCCCCTGTCCATAACATGTTCATCGGAATAAAGCGTATTTTCCATGATTGAAAATTCTTGTTTTTAGTATGAATGATAAATTAAATTTTTTTTTTATTTAACTGGATAACTTAATATTTTATGAAAAAAGAGATCAAGTATGCATAAACGCACATATTATAACGGAAGAAGCTTCAGAGATTTTCGTATAAATATGCGCTGGATTAGCTGCATGACTAAGTCAAGCTACGTCTGTGACAATTAATAGATATTTCTATACGAGCCAAACAATTACCAGCGTTACTGTATGTTTGCACTCCCCTCGCTTCTCTAAACTTTCCTTCACGCAAACTGTGATAAACGTCCTTAAATAAACCCTGGAAAAAACGTACAAAAACATTTTCCAACTAAAAAAGCTGCTAACAATATAAGCATTTCGAATCAGAGGAAGATACATGCCAGAGTTTTTCCTCATCTGCCAAAATATCAAGAAATAATTTTAGTATTCAGGCAATGTCTGTGTCAATATCGAATCTGTTTGATAATTACGTTTGATAAAATAAATTCATGAAACAATGATACATATCATACCATTTTGTTTGCTTGTAGGCAAAAAACAGTGTGAGAAATATTATATTTGACATTGACTCATATAATATTAGATGGAAACTATAACATTACTGTAATAAATGTTTGATCATAAAATGTATTACTTTACAAAAAGTATAAACATATTTTATTTAGACTGTTTTTTAGTTTGAACAGATTAGTGCCCATGTATCGCATAAAATAAAATATTTTTTTACGCTGAGAAAAGTGGTGGTAAAATTACTTCATTTTTTGAGAGAGCTGAGACATACTCACATGATGCTGCACATTATTACGTTTATAGTAATTTTTTATTGTATTTTAAATAATAATTATTATGTAGCGGCCCTTCAAAAGTTATTAGGCAACGTAATAAACATTATTATATCTAACATAGTAAAAATTGTGATAGTACAATTTTTACTATACAACCAGGGGCGGCTTAAGGGTGGGGCAAACTGGGCACTGGCTCAGGGTACCAGAAAGGCGGGGTCCCAAGTAAACAACAACGCAGAACACTGTAGTGTTGCAAAAACATTTTTTTTAGTTGAAAATAAAAAATATTAGTAAAAAATTTTGACTATCACAATGAAATAATTTACCACTCACATTCTAAAATTTAATTAGCCATATTTTCCTTGGAATCAGTGATACTTAAGTATCAACAATAAACGATTATTAAAAAAATATGATTAATATTCTACTGAAGTGTCACACGGTATAACTCAATT